CCACAAGCGCCTTTGAGTAAACCAGCATCATCGGCGAACGCGACGTATCCATCAGCGGTGATTCCCCAATACAAAGGCACCTTCCCGAACTGATCCTGCAAAAACCAAAATCAATAAGAAATCAGTACTTTCTAACTTCGATTTCGGAGATTAGATTCTGAGACGGTGACTTACAGAGGCGACGAAGAGGGTGGAGGTGGAGTTGTCGAAGAGGATGAATGCGAAGCTGCCGCTGAAATGGCCGACGACATGGTCGACCGGATATGGAGCTCGATCACGAAGAGCTTTGTAAGCTTCGATAACTAAGAGAACTTCATTGGTGGATTTGGGAAGGCCGTATTGGTTCCTCAAGCTCCCCAAATTGTCTAGAGCTCCTTCGAACAAGCAGAAGATCTCCTCCTTCACTGCCAGTGATCTACAATGGCGTTTTTTTGGATTTTCATTTTCAAAATACGAAAAATACACGATTTTTAATTAATTCTTTTTTTTTTCTTGTATATATTTAATGTATGTTCTTTTTAAAAATAGTATAATAAATTTAAATTTTAAAATTATTTATATTAATTCTTAACTTAATTTATTTGAAATTTTTCATTAAATTAAAATTTTAAATTTATATCTAATAAATTTATTAATAAGTTATTAAATATCGATAAATAAATAAATATATATCTATATATATATATATATACATTCAATGAGGGTTAAAAACATTATAAACCTAATTTTAAAAAAATATTTGAAAATTCTTATTATATTAAAAATAAATATTTATCAAACTAATTAATTAATTTTTTTTTTAAATTTAAGGCATAATAAATATGATTTTTATTAAGTTTAAAATATAAAATAAATATGGCTTCACTTTCCAGAAACTACGGGAACACTGGATGCTGGAATTATTGTTTGGCGGTTTTATAATAAATCTGTGAAATGACAAAAACACCCTTGCGGTCACTTTTATATGAATTAGTCACTTAATATTTGAATTAATTTTGTATTTAGTAAATTGTTTCACATAATTTATAAAGATTATTGTTGAGTTCAATACATTTAAAAATATTTAAGTGATCATTTTCAATTTTATAATTCTTAGTATATATATATATATATAGTTAAGATTTTCAGGAAAAAAAACAGAGCGCCGCCGTAGAACGGCGTTTTGAACGGAGAATCGCCGGTACCTGGGGCGCAAGGGAGACTCGTTGTGGTGAGTGAAGGCGAGGTGGACATGGTCACCGATCTGGAGGGAGACGGCGGCAGTATTGGAATCCGCGAACCGCTTGGCCAGCGCCGTGGACGATATCTTCGGCGACGGAGTCCGGCAGCCGGCAGCCACCAGTTCGTCCGGCGGCGATATAATCGAACTGCTAAATACGCCCAACATATTTGCCACGATCTGCGAAGTTAAACAACGATAGAAGCACTTAAGCAGAAATGGGAGCTGATCCTTAATTTATAGGCCGGCTTAGGGAGTGGAGGGTACTTTCGTACTTTCGCCTGTTCACGTGAGATAATATTAAATTTAATTTGTTTATTTTGTTAAAAATAAATTAATTAAAAAGGATAAGATTAAAAAACACAGATTTCTTTTTCTTTTCTTTTTTTTTTTTTTTTTTTTAAGAAACC